CTCTGTGTAGCTTTGGTGCCTGTCCTGGATCTCGCTCTGTATCCCAGGCTGGCCTCGAACTCACAGAGATCCACCTGCCTCTGCCTCCCGAGTGCTGGGGTTAAAGGCGTGCGCCACCACCGCGGGCTTCTTTTTACTTCTTAACTATAACCTTTGTCAATGCAAAAACCAGCAAACGTGGATCTCACCTTCTAAAGGAAAAATGAGGTCATTTATTATGGAGCCATTTTGCATGACCACGACCCAGGAACACAGACTTAGGTTACCCTAACTTCCATGTTCCCACCAAATATAATATGTATGAAGATGCCATGAGAAAACCATTCCCTTGGGGACTAGAGAGATGGCTCAGGCTTTAAGAGTACTTACTATTCTTGCAGAAGACCTAGGTTTGATTCCCAGAATCCATGCTGGGTGGCTCACAGCCACCTGTAACTCCAGTTTCAGAGGATCCAATACCCTCCTGCCTCTTTGGGTACACACGGCACACATAAACTCATGCAGGCACATACACACAAATAAAAAATAAATTTTTTAAAGAGAGAAGGAGGTGAGCCAGAGATACAGGATATCCTGTCTTGAAAATACAAACAAAAACTAGCAAACACTAATGCTACATTGTATATGACGCTAAAATTAATTTAAAATAAAATGGGGCAGTATATGCTGTGTCAGGTTGACCAGGAGACACACCTCTGGGTGTGTTTGTGGGGGTTGAGAAGAGGGGGCCCACCTAAGCACCATCCCATAGGCTCCTGACTATGGATGCAAAGTGACCAGTTCACATACCTGCGGCCACCTTTTCCCGCCTTGACGGACTGTAGCCGCTAATGGAGGGCCTCAGAGGATAAACCCTCCTCCTCCTCCTTTAACCGATTTCTTTAGGATATTTGTTCACAGTGAGAAAGGAACTAAGGCACGGCTAACTGAACCGGCCAGGAATTGGTTTTGGGGAGCTTGGACCTTATCACGTGACCACACAGGTTCCTCGTGTTGTAGCAGTGGCCTGGGTGGGGCAGTAAGGGTTTCTGCTCCGAACAGGATTGCTCTTCAGGCCTGTGGGGTGAGGTCCTCACAGAGATGATCTTCAGTAGAGACTAAGTCAGGCACTCAGTTCACCGGGGACAACACACAAACTGTGAAAAGATATGGCTCTTAGTTCTTTCTCAATTCATTAAAGCCCAATAATGGACGGGGGGGGGGGGGGGGATCG